ATTTTCAGTGGTGCTAGGTTGCCTAAGCCCCTCTTGCACAGAACCTTTGTAAGGACACCAGCAATTAGTTTCCTCAATGAAAAAATGAGAAACGGAAATCTGACAGATGTTGGGCACATCTTTTTATAGGAGATGCAGAAGAGCAGCTGTTACTGCAGGGATTGTAGGGATTTCTTGTGAAAGTTGGTAGCAGATGTCACCATCTGCTACTGCCCTCTCTGTTAAATAGAGGCAAAAAGGAGACTGAAAACTTGTTAAAAAGAGAAAAAAACAGGTAACAACAAAAAAATTCAAGACACCCAAGTATATTTACAGCAAGCGGTAGAACTCCTTACCGCACTCCCTCCTAGCAAAACTGCAATCCAGTTGCACAATAAAAGCAAAGAACACTCCCCATTCTCTTCAAATCATGATTTCTTTTTATTTTAATCTTTCTACATGTACTTTGACAACCTTCAGCCTGCAATCTAACACCTAGCCATTTCCTTTCTGGCTGAAAGTGATCATAGAAATGAGCAGTTGCATCCTTTCCCTCTGGGTATACAGTAAGGGTCTGATGACAACTGCTTTACCAGAGCTGGTATCAGACAAACAAAAATTTCCTACACAATGATCTACACAATTATGTCATGCGTGGAGGCAAAGTATTTAGTACTTACAGAAAAAAAAAAAAATCCAGCAAAAAGAAAACAAAACTTGTGTTGCATTGTGTCAGGAAACATGCTGTACATGTTTGTACATCTTGGCAGATAACGATCAGATGAGGCAAGCAATGAAGTGGTTAACCAAATCGGAGAGTTATCTCAGACATCCAAAGGCACATCTTGTAAACCTGAGAAAACTATACAGAGAACTGAGGAGCAGAAAAAGTAAGGGCTTGTCTGGGAAGAAACAAATGACACTGTCAACAGGTAGTTAGCTTTCTTACTCATAAAAAATGGCATCAGTGAGATCCACAGCCCAACAAAAGAATAGGAATCTTTCCAATGGTATACAGAAGAGTTGGATCATGCCCCAGCTTTCCAGAAAACTAGACTTGCTAATTGCCTCACTCTTTTGCTGTCAAAACCGTCATCTCACTGAACTGAAATACCTTTTCAATATTGCTATAGGGCAGACATTTCTACACTGGTAATACTGGAAGCCACATTCAACCACCAACAGAAACTCGCTGATCACAAGCTTCCCCATTTGGTATTCCACAATGTTATTAAAGAAAAAAAAGAAGAACAAAAAAGCAGCCCTACAATACTACGTGTCCAGCTCTCTGTACATCACCCACTGGAGCCTGGAAAGTCACAACTTTGGAATTAGCACTCTGAAACGTGATAGAAAAACCACTCTGTTATGGCAGTTGCACAAGATTACTGTGGAGAGACCATTCAGATTAATTCTAACATACATCTCCCTGCTTTATCTGCGAAGACTTTTTAGGTTTTGTTTTGTATGTTTAGCTTTGAAACATATACCATCTTGTAGCTTACTAGCACTGTAAAGAACATTTTGCTTTTCAGATGATGTCGTGTTTAGACAGTAAATAAGCCTCAGAAATAGAAAAGGCCATTCTCCTTTGGCATGCCATAAATCAGGAATCACTTGAGCCATACCTGGTATACGAGTGATAAAAGTAAGAGAGAAAACCAGCTTTAGCAAGGTTTACTGCTGTAACCAGTCTTTTTCCAGCACAGGGGAATTATGCTTACCTCACATTACCAAGCCATCACGTGAAATACTACGCTCAGCCAGTATAAATCAACACGGCCCAGTTCACTTCAACACAACCATACTGATTTGTGTGAGCTGAAGAACATGTACCAGTCAAAAAGTGACTATTTGTTGTTATACCTACTGCCTCTCATTTCCTAAAGAAAAAAAAATAAAAAGGAAAATACTACACAGCCACTTGTTCTACTTCACATGAGATTTTAGATAATATTGTCTGTTGTTACACATGCATGCAATTCTTGAGCAGGGACTCGTTGGTGCATTTTGATAATGCTATACTGCTATACTGCTATTCCCCAAATTAAGATGAAAGGTGCAGACAGAGGGTCAAGCAACCTGGAACTTATTGGTGCTTTTTATTTTTTTTTTTTCTATAAAGTCACTGTGGCTGTCACTATGCAAAAGATCAGCCCACACAGTGAGCTTAAGAGTGTCACATCTTAAGATCTACTCCTGTTACTCTATTTTTCTTACAGAGTGAAAGAACAAGATAAAAGTAAAAAAATCAAACAAGCTCCTCAAAGCCAGCACTTTTCTCAAATATTCCTAATTTCAGTAAATAAGAAGCCTCTTATATTAGACTTAAGCACTCTCCATCCTTAACAAACTCTGTGCAGACTTGTTTATTACTACGCAGCATACATGATGTTAACTACCACTAGAGCTCCTTCCCAAAATAAAATTGGGAAGACTAAAGAAAAGAATCAGTATTCTGAAATAACATGTTTCTGCCTAAATTTGCCTCATACCATCCCAAGGAGAAAATGCCTTCAACAAAAACGGTATGAAATATGAGAACAAAATATACATCACTTCAAAAGTCATGCCTTCCATTCATTTCCATGGAAACTACAACAAGTACAAAGAGCACAACAGCACTTTTTGATATAGCAAATTCCCAGCTACTAAACACTATTTTCCAACATAGCCACCACTAGCTATACATTTTCACCATATTATCATCTCTATATTGAGATAGATAATTCCTATTACACCCCCTTCGCCTCACAGAGCACATTTATAGCCTTCAAAACCAAAAGTGGTGAATGCCAATTAAGAAAAACAACCTCAAAGCTCTTTCGCTTCTATTTTCTTCTCTGAAAAATTTTAAGATATTCTCACCTAAAAACACTAAGGAAATGATGGTGGGCTGTGTTTACTGTTACTTTCATTGCCTGCGCTCCTGCTAAAGCTAATGGAGCCAACCAGAACTACTTCTAAGACAAGATTCCTGTTCATGGCAGAAGTGGCTTAAATTTTACTAGAATCACATACACAAAACTAGAAGAACAGCCTGGGACTTCAAAGCACAGACTTCATTCTCCACAGGGACATTAAATGTGTTGAGACTTCTCATTGGAAGCTCCATTTTAGCAGTATCAAAGCTGGAATGAATGTCAGAGGGATCAAAACAGCAACAAGCAGTGAAGTTTTTATATTTCAAAAAGGCACAAGCCTGCAGAGAAAAAAACAGCAGAAATCATAAATGTGTTTCTGTAACTTTTTATCCAGCAGTTGTTTAGCATTACTAGAAATCACAGAATTATAGAACTGCTCAGGTTGGAAAAGACCTTAAAGATCATCAAAAAGTCCAACTGCAACCTGACCTTACTACCCTAACTCTAACAGCCCTCTGCTAAATCATGTTCCTGAGCACCACATCCAAATGGTTTTTAAACACGTTCAGAGATGGTGATTCACCACTTTTCGGGGCAGCCTGTTCCAGTGCTTAACAACCCTTTCTGTAAAGAAGTTTTCCCTGATATCCAACTTAAACCTCCCCTGGTGCAACTTGAGGCCATTTCCCCTCATGCTGTCACCGGTGAGAAGAGACCAACCCCGCTTTCGCTGCAATCACCTCTCGGGTATTTGAAGAGAGCAATAAGGTCTCCCCTCAACCTCCTCTTACCCAGACTAAGCAGCCCCAGTTCCTTCAGTACCATGCCAGGGTTGTTTGTGTAATTGCATTTTCCTTCATGCTTTGTGTTGGTCAGGTGGTTTTAATTTCAACATTATAATGCAAAGCAATTTGCACATCACCTTATATAGTGCACCAAGACTATACTGCAGTGGAATGCTTAAAAGAAAACAGAGTATTAGGGCTCCTAAATGAAACAGGTTAGTGAATTTGATTCTCTTTTAATTTTGAACTTGTAGTGTCAACTGCTCTGGCATGAAGCACTCCACCGATTTCTGCCACCATGGACTTGATGCATCATGTCCTGGAAACACTGCCTACTGAGTGTACTGTAAGACTTTACAGCTGTGACTCGCAAAGAAATCCCTATTTAAATCATATTGACTTTTTTCCTCTATTTTTTTTTTTAAACAGTTGCAATTATGGTCTATTTTATATTTGTAAGTATGAGTAAAATGATTATGTTTTGTACTAGGCTATAATTTACATAATTGCATTCCTGTAAAATTTGAATTTATATTTCATTTAGCAACAGACCACAATAAAAGGCTTCTCTCTGAGAATCCAGTTCTGTTTGTCAATTTAAAGTTTAATTTTAGAGTGTTTTCTATGTCACAGTATTTTAAGGGCAGAGGAAAGCTGTCACTGTGTAAGAGACTTTTAATCAACTCTGGACTTTTGCTCAAACTAACTACCATTATTAATTGTTCCTAAAGTAGTGCAAGAGGAAAAAGCATGATTAAGTAGAACTTAAACTGCCTTGCTATTAAGGATTAAACAGAAAAGCATTTTAAAGCCATACATTGAAAGCCATCGTGACAGAAGGCATGTGTCATAGTCCACAAGTTTCCAAAATATACCAGGCTGTACTCACTAGTCTTATGAAATTTAGAGGGACTATTATTTCTACTTCTTACATTGACATTTATATGCAAATAAAAATTTTGACTACAAGTCACACTTGAAATTGTATTTGTTATGCAGTTGCTCACCTGAACGACTTTAAAACCTGCCTTTTTAATATATCGTTTTAACATCTAGCCGTAAGTTACTATCAGGAAGGAAAGAAAATGCAGAGATGCTATGATATTTTTGTAGTCTATTGAGAGCACTGATACACAAAATCACTCCTTTCAGAGTTGGAGGGTTACAAAATGGAACGTGATACTTGAGAGTGAAAACTGGCATATAGCAGACTGCCAGAAGGGCTACATTAAACACAGTGCACAGACTACCTCAAGTCAAACCACCTCACCACAGCATTTTGGAGATTTAAAAAAAACTTCTGGATGAACTGTACCGTTTTTCCTATCAGATACGCACAAACTTAGGAACAGTTTTACATGGATTTTCTAACCTCTCCTGGGACTTTCATGATTGAAGAGAATGCCATTCACAGCAAAGAGATTGTAGGCCTCTCTGAAGTTCACCACAATCCAATAGGCATACAGTTTTGCTGCACCTACAAAAATAATTGGAGAAGATGTTACACATAACCGTTCCGCTTGTGCACTGCTTGGACACACACACACATCTCTCTTGCATGTAGGGTAATGGCCACATTTCAACAATTCCATTAGAATTCAGTTCATTCCCTAGATGTGTCACATTTCATAGGGAAAAAATATCCAGGCCAATAAACAGCAGCTGAACGAGAAAATACTCCTCTTTTGCACAGCCCCAGGATAGACCAGGAAGGGTTAGGGCACTCTCTCACTTGTTTTCTTACGCACACTCAAGCATAGCAATTTTTCTTTTACAATACAATTAATGCAGCCAGAGCGTGTGAAATATGCCACTGTGGTGACCTCTGCTAATAAAAAAAAAATGACTTTAGAGGAATAAAAGCAAAAAATCTGCTGTCTTAACACTCAAATTGATTTGAAACTTTATCACCAAAGTCTTCCATGCACAATGCTTAAATAAGTGTTTCAAATTTAATGCGAGGTCATGAAGGAAGAAACGAGCTCTTGGGAGTTTTTCATTTGAGCAACAAAAAGTATGAAACCTTATCACTCCAGTGCTATCTTACAATTCTTAGTGAAGGAAGAGCCAACCCTCCCCCTCCTCTCTAAAAGAGCTCTCTAATTCTGATCTGAATGAACACAGTCTTGAGGAGTGAGATGGTAATTTCCAACCCCCGGGCAATGGCAGCAAATACTTTTAATATAGTAATTCATAAAGGTATGCCTCTCAACATGTCTAGTCACTTTTGCTCTATCGTCATTCTAATCTCACACCCAAATGACTTCAGCCCTGAGACATGAGAAGAGAGAACAGACATACAGACACTACTGACACACACGCATCAGCAAGCCTTACCATAAGGAGATCTTGGGTAAAAAGGGGTGGTCTCCTTCTGCGGGATTTCTTGCACTTTTCCAAAAAGTTCACTGGTGGAGGCTTGGTAGAACTTCACAGAATTGATAAGGCCACAGGTCTTAATAGCATCTAGGAGCCGTAAAGTGCCAACTCCATCAACATCAGCAGTATACTCTGCTAGGTCAAAAGAAATCTTGGAAGAGAAGGAAATAAAAAAAATACCAGTTTTACTAAGAGAATCAGAACACGCAGCAATCAGACACATTTAACCAAGCAAAGTCATACACCACTTGTCACAAATCATCTAGACACTTCTGTACAAAGTTGGTGCTCAGTTTACAAAAGTACTCTCAAAGGATTTCTAAGAATAAACAAGAAGTTCCACAAATAGCAGAATCAAAAGACTGGTGTTCCCTGATCTCTCTCTCTGGATTACTTTCCCATGTGAAGTAAGGGGTAAGCCTACCCTATAGTGGGAGCATTATCAGGCACTCTCTCATCTCCACAGCTGCCAATTTTCACAATATTCACTTGGACTTACTATCTTTGACACACTCAAGTTAGTTAAAAACGGCCTAAATATAGTTTAAAAATTATGTAAGATAACACGATACAAGCATAAACATTTATTTTAGAAATAAGCAACCTTAAACAACATTCAAAGTTTCGCAATTTAAACACACACTAAACTGAAGATTGGAAATATCTGTTCTCAAGTGACATTCCCAGCCTCACCTGGCTAAGGAGTATCAAATGTGACTTTTGCACAGGGGCAGGTGGAATACAGCAATAGCAATGTTACAGCTCTTTATATGACCCTGTCCAGAGCTTAGCAAGACCTACCGAAAACACACAGTAACCAAACTGTTGTCACTTCTTTAGCATTCTGTGGCAGGTTAGTTATGAGTGGAGCAGAAGGTAAACGACCCTCACTGATGAGCTGAGCAAGCCCAGAGAAAGTGATGGGAAACAACAGTTGCCAGGCATGTTTTTAGTCTCTCTGCAGATTCAGACACACAGCCAAGTATTCACTTCTCCTGTCAAGCTGCTTCCTCTGTTCCGTAATCGTTACAGGCTTACATTACAGTTCCTTACTTGTTAGCCTGGTATAGCCCAGCTGAAACTGCACATTGGTCGACTTAGAAGTGCTGAGCTTCTCATTTTTTATTTTTTAAATTCGTTCGCTACAAAGATAACAGACACTTAAAGCCTCTCAGCTTCACTGTTAGAGTAACCCTTGAGAATACATCTCAATGAATAGCTGATAGAATCACAGAATGCTTAGATTTTGTGGGGACCTCTGAAGGCCATCTAGTCCAACTCCCCTGCAATGAACAGGGACACAACAGCCTGATCAGGATTCCCAGGGCCTTATCTAGCCTCGCCTTGAAAATGCTCTAATGAGCATAAATTATCATATTCACCATATGGCTAGCAACTTCATGTATTCTCAGTGTCTTTTCACCGCTCTAAAAGAAAAGGCAGAACACTAATTTTGGCAGAATCAAGAATTTAACCATATTAACATATTCTTCCAAACAAATAACCTGATAAAACAGCCCTCTAAAATGCAAACTTTGCTTGCATATTCCACCGACATGAGTAAATGGTGCATGTCAGGTGGGTTTAAATGAGAAACCCCAGACTATAAAACCTCTTCGCTAAAGTGAACAAAGAGCCTGCAGTAGCACTACCAGGGGCTGCTCTTGCTGGCTGATCGGAGACCAGTTTCACAAGACATGCCTTTCCCTACTGCCTGAAGAATGACCTCAATGTTCACCTAGAAAAATCGCTCCCTTGGGTGTGAGGTAATTCTGTCTCCATGCTGGCCTGGCCTGAGTGTTCTCGAACAGAAACCGACAGCTCTGTGTGGGTTTGGTGTTTTTGTAATGTCGACTATTGTTCACCAGGGACGGGACTCAGACCACTAAACTCACTTTGTTTTGGAGCACAGGTTGGACTAAAACGGCATTCGAGAAAATGAAAAATGGTTTTACTCACTAAAAACTCCAACTCCAAAAGCATAGGGCTGTTAAAGACATTTTGAGCAGTGTCACTTCACACTAGAATTGGATTCTAATTCAACGTTAAGACCATAAAAAAGTTTTATAAAACTAGTTATAAATGAAGCAGGACAGAGTAAGAAAAGTGCTAAGCTATCCATTACCACATTCTTTCTTCTTCTGAACATGTTACTTTCTGCAAGACCCATAGGAATACTGAAGTTAAAGAAAATAATAATGAAGGGATCTCATTAAGAGGGACATGCAAAAGAGATGTGGCTTTGCTTGTACAACATACAAGAGGTCAGGGCTAGCGAAACAGAAACCAACTACAGCATCAGATTCTATAAACACTACTCAGAAATAATCTTTGCTTGTGCATTTAGCTCGGTGGGATTACCTGAGAAAGTACAAACTTCATGGTGGTTTCTAAGGGCGGGAGCATAAAGGTTACAATCAGTCCATGGTTTCTGAAAAGTTAAATATTTCCCCAGTGGAAAAAATGGTGTAAGTAATTCTAACAGATTAGAGTTTTCACACAATTTAATTTATAACAACTATCTTAAGAGTCTGAATTAGGAAGCTGATCTCCCTGTATACCACCAATGACAGTGGAAAGACAGAGGAGAAAGTTTAAGGAGGTTTTCTTCATCATGCTTTGGAAAAATTATATATGTGTTAGTTTTTAACTTAGTTAAGTGAGATGCTCCATCCTAGCCTCAAAAATCCCAAATAGCATTTGTCACCTGCACAGGGGAAGCAGTGTGCCCAGTAATTTTTCTGAAGGCAGCAGCAGGATGTTGTAATGACTGGAGTAGCAAAAAGAAATGCCTTTGCCTGGATGAAATTAAAAACTGAAAGTTTTCTCATCAAAGAGTCTGGAAGGCATAAATCCAATACTCCTTTGTCTTCTCTGGACAGACTTTCTGTCAAAGGGAAAGCAACATACCAAGAAAACTGACGCTGTCTACTTGGAAGGTTTGAGTCAACTTGGAACTCCTTTCCCACAGTGCTTTTGGAACTCTCATAGCCGACCTCTGGATACGCTGTGAATCTACACACTGAAGACACGTCTCCTTATTCCGTTCAATAAACAGTGATAGCATTATCATTAAAAGAGGACAGAACAAAATGGAGATACTAATATTCTTGGTTAAAAGTAGTTCAGTTCTAAGTTTTCATGCTCTGAATACCTTGCAGCATTGGCTCAAAGAATATTAAAAAGGAATCAGGACTTTTATATGCTGTCTTTAGCTCATCTGAATTTCACTGCTGGACTAATCTCTAATTGTGGAACAATTCAAATACATTCTTAGGCAAGCGTAAGTTCCCACAGCAAAGCTTACTCATAGGATAATAAAATTTTCTTGAGAAAAGCATAGAGTCATTAGTTACAACATTCCTGGAAACACAGGACACAATATGAATACCCTTAATACCATACTGCGTCTCTTCAATAATACAGCTCCAAGAATGACAGTGAGTTTTGTGAATCAGTCCCTCTATTTTGAATTCAAACTCTTTTTCCCACTTCTTTCTTCATAATTGTCAGATTCAATCACTACATGAGATCCAAATTTAATAAAGCAATGTTTTAAGTATGATGTTTCCCAACTGATCATTCAAAACCAAGCTTAGCAAGGTCTTTAACAAGATTTAAAAGCTTATTGAAAACTATTTAAATGAAAACATATGGGACTTGCCCTCCCCAAGAACACATTCCTACCATGTCTATGAGTACTGTATACAAGCTGCAGATTTAATAACACTTGCTTCTGAGCAGTGCATCACCAACAGTGGTGATATTCTGAAAATAAATATGAATTTCTGTTTTGTCACTTTGAAAAATTGAAAGGATGGACTGCAATCATACCACTTATTAGCCTTCTACCACAAAAAGGTATGAACTAGCAGAACATGCTCTAAAAGATAAAAAAACAACAATTTGAAATTTCATCTCCTTCTTACAGTATCCTCAGTTTAAGGATATGGAATTTAGCTGGCTGGCATTATAAAAGGAAAGCTTACATGAAGTCCCAGAAGGAAACAGGATAATAGAAGTGTTAACTATGTATTATTCCTTCACTGTAAAAGCAAAGGTGATTAACGTAAGTATAACATCAGATTAAGCATCTATGTTCTCTTGAAAAACCTTTAAGTAGTTTTCTTTAGATTTATCAGAGCAGAAGACGTGTCAGGTCTCTTTAAGCACTGCCAAAGGTTTACACCTGAGAAACAAATTACAGAGAAGAAAAACTGCTCAGAAATGTTTCAAGCCTCACGTTTCACAGCAGTTACTTTTTTGTATTTTTACAAATCAATTCTATTTGCTTTGAATATTCAGTGTGCCTTCCACTGCCAATAAAAACCAGTGGGATCACTTATATCATCTCAATAAACAAACTGCTCAACTCCTAGGAACAGGCATTTAAAGCATAACATTCCAACTGCTAAATCTAATACGGAGTATGGGCCAAGCATTCCTGCAAAGTCCTAACACCACAAAAAAAAAGTCCTAGGGATTTTAGGAAATCCAGAGAATTTGGGTGGAGGTGGGAGGTGTCGAGGGGGATGGGAAAGAACCTACACACCTACAGTAACATAGGGTAATCTTCTAGAACATGACAATTCCTCTTGCCTCCAATGGCTTAACTCATAATGAATGCTTAATGCATTGCCTTCTCACCCAATAAAAGTAGTAGTTGAAAGATACCAAAATCCCCCAGCCCCACAACTATGGTTTTTGTACTAAAAAACACCATTCTATAGCTGTGTTGTTTATTGTTGCGTTCTTGATATATCAAAGCCCTATTAAACTTCTTAACTAAATAGAAATAAACTGAAAAAATGACTGAAAACTTGAATAAAATAAGTATGTTTTAGTAGATATATCTTCTTTCCTATTTCCTTCCCTGTTCTCCATTACTAAAGAAGATAAAATCAAGTGATCAGCACAAAATGAACATAAGCAGAGAATTAACAAGAGACCCTGAAGGAAGAATTATTAATATTTATTAATCAGTTCATATTTTCCAAGGAAACAAGGTTTCTTCATCAAGTAACCTCAGAGTGCTTTTCGTTACACATAAAAAAGAACAGTTTAAATGCAATTTACTCCATTGTATCAAACACATACATGTTTTTGCACCTGCAAAAAAGGCACAAAGGAGGGGGGAAAGCTCACTCATGG